AAATCAAATATTGCAAAATATTTTTTAGAAAAAAAGTTGTGAAAAATTCTGAACATTTTAAATTGAGTCATCTTTTTTAAAGACACTTTACACACGTTTGAAATGAACACTAATCATTGATCCACATGAAGTACGCCATCGCGGCCAAACATTATTTGTCATCAATGAGTTTTGGTCATTAAAAAATCTTATCAGTTGGAATAAATTTTTTATACAAACAGACTAAACGTACTAAATAGTGCAAACAAGTCACAAGAAAAAACAGCACTAAAAATATTTCATAGGTTCTAGTATGACTCAATTAGCGCGATCGTCAAACATTTAGTTGGGCTCTTTTACCTAAAACCAATAGGAAACGATTTATTATAATAAATGAGATTTTCACTAAACGACTTAGGAGTATACAAAACTTCACCACAATGCCATTTACACTATCTCAGTTGTGTTCTCGTGTAATTGTGAAATACACAGGCACGAGACAAAAATTTAAATCAGTAAGAAAGTATTTAGTCGCCTTATCCCTCACAATTCATTCATTCACAAATAATTGAAAAATCATTGACGCAAGTGTCTAGCCTCTCGACTGGTCATTTTTTAAGGAACGAAAGTCTTTGTTCCGGAATTGCTTCTTAATTGCGAAGGCAGACACAATCCAACCACAAATATACACATTAGTAAAATTACCTGAAGTACTGATTTGTGTTATTGGTCTAAGGCAGTGCTACTGTATGATTTCCTTTAGATATATACAATATACTAAACAATTGACTTTGTAGACAAGAATAGTTTGGAATTGCGGTAACATTGTGAAAAGGTTGAAGTTCAAAACTATATAAAATTATATAAGTAAAAATCAGGCTAAATATGAGATCTTATTTCAAAATCAGTCTTATGAAATCCTATTAGATTTCAAAACGAGACCTTATAACTCACTAAGCTTACCTAGAGAGTAATTCACTAGCACATTTAATCAATACTGTACATAAATTGATCAATGGTAAAGAACTTCTATATCTTATACACAACTCTGACGTCTCATTGAATAGAATATTGAATCCTCAAGCACGATATCTAAATCCACTATCTAATATCACTACCACTATTTAATATTATTATATAAAATTAATATAACAAAATAATAATAATATTAATATAATGATATTATTGTATAATATTAATATAATGATATATTAAATAATATTATAATATTATATTCAATATAATATATTTAACAACATAATATAATGTCAGGAAACTCTACAAATAATATTTAAACGGAGATATATAGGTATGTATTATATTCAATGCAACTCTAAGCTCGATAAGTAGACTACTTAGATTGAATATGTTAATGTGGGAACTTAAATTATAGAGTAAATTAAAATAACTAAAGTTACTTCTTAAATAAATCTGTCAGAGTAGAAGCGAAACAAGTATACTGCTTGTTTACTTTACATATATTTTGGAACTCAGAATAATACCACCATTCAAAATAATCCATTTTAAACTGCCTCTTTCATGTATAGTGTTGGGACTATAAATAACTATTACAGCTAAATGAAATTTTTTTTTTCTAACTATTAAGTTCTACAGCAAAAATTCTACAATAATTTTAGTACATTTATTGGGACTTTATCGTGGCATAACAAAAAGCCGATTAAAAAGATATTGCCCTCACTAAATAAATTACAGTTTTAGTTTATTTTATTATAATAAATTTAAAGCACTAAAAGTTAAATTGAGCAGGATATGCTTAATAAACATATATGTATACCATGCCCTTACTCGCTGGAGAATTCCAGGCTAGAGTAATAGATCTTTAACTATCGCTTTAAATTTGTATCTTATTGTAGTACCGATATATGACCACAATTTTTGATGCAATCATAATACGAGCATTAGACAATATTTAGCACACTAATGAAAATACTGCTTTCCTAGTGCATTATATCAGTCCAAAATACAACAGTTACTTAATAAAATCTGTAGAACCGAGCAAGAAACCATTAGGGTAAAAATTAAGTGGGAACTGACAGCATTTAGGCGTGAATAAACTGAGAGTTTTCTTTCCGATATAGTTCTAGTGAACTATATCGATAATCCAAAATAATAACGTTTCACACTATTTGCAAAAATCTTCTGCAATAAAAGCAGAATCTTTAGATAAAGCTTCTATATTCTCAGTGACACTCCCTTTATATTCATAGATTAGATATAAGAACCACAATTATATCTCCTTTTGTTTGTATATATTACAGACTTTAAAGGTTAGTTTTTTCTTTTAATTCTATTAACTTTAAATATTATTGTTCAGAATTCTGTGAAATCCATACTCATTTTATGATATATTGGCATGAGTTGATATATTTTTAAAATGCAATCAAAGTTTATAATGTATCATTTATAACAGCAAGTTAGAGTTATTAATAACGTTAATGACATTGATAAACATAGTATGTCACGCCCATTATAAATAAGTTATACAATTATATATATATAATAATATTTTTTTTTCAATTGTTATAATTATATGTATATATTTTTTTCAGTGTAAAAATAGAGAATTTTTATCTTTCATCAATTATTTATTAAAAGTTTACAGTAACACAAAGTTGCGAAATAACTCCAATGATATACCATATACCCGTATTTTAATAATCAAATTAGTTTTAATCGAATAGGACTCAAAAATTATACTATACCGAGTATTTAAGATTTTTATTAAAATATTTCGAACACAAATACATTTAAGTTAAATGATTTAACATTTCAAGTAATGATAGGAATATAACTTAAGAGTGGTTATAATTTTCTGTATGTACTATATATATATATATATATACTATCTATCAAATGATAGATGTTTATCATTGATATACGAAAACAGAGCTGTTATGAAATGTAGGGTAAGAAAACATAAAATTTAAAAATAATGCATCATACTTTTGATATTCGAAAGTTCAACTAGCTGTTATCAAATCCTATGCATTGAAACTTGGGTCCGTATCTATCAGACATATCTCTTAAAACAACTGCAATGGTCTTTTTATTTTAATATATGAAACTAATAAATATTAAAATTTAGTCTCACTGAATTTTAATATCGAAAATAATCGATAAACGAGCTATCAAGAATTCGAATAAAAGTTTTTGGTATAACCAACTAGCCAAATACATAGAAGATAGGAGTCGGACGAAAAGTCACCATTTACGAAATAAGGATAATAGATCAACAAACTAAAAATGGTATTGGTATGAAAAATTGATTTTCATAAAATTAAGATACCCGGCTGAGTACTATAGTGATATTTTTATAACTATATCTTATTTTGGGTTACACCAGTAATCCCATTTTCGCCAGCACCCACATAATTTTTGATTTTAAAACTCATATTATATCAATATTAAAACATTCTTTTTAAATACTATGAACTTTTTTAAACTTTTAAAAACTCTTATGAATTAGTTATTGTTTCTTTAAGTATGGTATTGTGCTATTTACCTATGCTGATTTCTTTTTACTGACAGAACCGTTGAAATTTGTTGAATTTTTGATGCTGTTACCTGGTAGATTTTTGTTTTTTATACTTTTTATGCTACTAAATGATATTTTACCTTTTATTATTAATATGTTTCGATGTACATGTTTGAGTTTAATTGAGAACTGACTGCTTGAGACCAGTGGAAGTGGGAGAGGAGGGACTTACTTTAAAAATTAATACCAATTTGGTTTAGTCTGGCCATTTATATGAAGCTTTAAATTTGCAGTGTATGGCCAAATTTATTTGGTATATACGATTGAAAATGTTTTGAATGAAGAATATATAACACTTAAAATGATTATTTTAAACTATTTCACACACTGTGCCTTAATTAATGTACATGATTCACACTGATATTTGTTTAGTTTACACTCGTTTTACAATTTTTGATTAGGAAAGTACAAAGTTTATTATTTTCTAATAATTATAAAACAGAAAAAAAATTTTAAGGAATTACCTATTATTTTTTATCAGTGCAAAATGCAAATACTTGTGTGTTTTCTGATTGAATTTTTGGAAATTCAGAGAACTTTAAACGAAAACTTTGGCAAACCCCAATCGTTAACTGATGTATGACGAAAATTTGGAACTTATTGACCAGTTATCGAATCCAAAAAATTTAAACCCAATAAAAGTTAAATCTTTAAAAAAAAATTTTAATTTCAAAAAAAATATCAAATTAAATAAAAATTATGTTAATTAAAATAGTAATAATAATAATTGTTTAAACCAAAGCATAATACTTATTTTCTTATCTCAATTTTCACTTTTATTTGAGGTAAATTAAAAGCAGTATAAATTATATTAACTTTTTTTTATTTTTTTTATTTATCGTAAACAAAACATTTGTTGCATGAAAACAATTTTTTTATTTTTATTTTTTTCTTTTTTGCCACAAGTTCACACCTTTTCGTTCACATAATTACGTGTGGAAAATATAAGTTTACTCCAGATAAGTCAACTTCTTACAAATGAAGTTTTAGATACTTGAAGTACATTAAATAAGATATTATTTCAACCTCATGACATTTTTAATAAAAACGATCATATCTTAATTACTATTTTTTGCAATGTTTATATATATTATAGCTTATATATATATATATAATAATAATTGATATTAATTATTTTTCCACGATTACTAACAAAAATAATCAGGGTAGGCAATTTCTTTACAAAATGTTCGACTCGCATGATAAAGAAAACAACTTCATAAATTTGAAAATCCTGGATATAAGTTTACCTCAGTATAAGAGTGTAAACACGAAAATATTTGCTAAAAGACTTTAATGAAATCAATTCAACTTTTATATAACTATCTGAAATGTTTATTATTTAAAAAAAACAA